CCTGGCCTACCCCCAGAGCGTGATGTTGATTTTCCGATTGAGCTTGAGCCAGGTACTCGCCCTATTTCTATTCCGCCATATCGGATGGCTCCTGCAGAGCTCAAGGAGCTCAGTGTTCAGATTCAGGATCTCTTAGATAAGGGATTCATTCGGCCTAGTGTATCGCCTTGGGGTACCCCAGTCCTCTTCGTGAAGAAAAAGGATGGTACTATGCGATTGTGCATCGACTACAGGCAGTTGAACAAGGTGACGGTGAAGAACCGTTACCCCATGCCTCGTATTGATGATTTGTTTGATCAGCTTCAGGGTGCCGCCGTGTTTTCTAAGATTGATTTGAGGTCCGGGTACCATCAACTGAGTATTAGGGCAGCGGACATCCCTAAGACCGCATTTAGGATCCGTTATGGGCATTATGAGTTCTTGGTGATGTCATTTGGGTTGACTAATGCCCCTGCTGCTTTCATGGACTTGATGACACGTGTGTTCAGGTCATACCTTGATTTATTTGTCATTGTCTTTATTGATGACATACTGGTATACTCGCGGAGCCGGAGTGAGCATGAGCAGCATTTGAGGATAGTGCTCCAGACTTTGAGAGATCAGCGGCTTTATGCCAAGTTCTCAAAGTGCGAATTTTGGCTTGAGTCCGTAGCATTCTTGGGGCACGTGGTGTCTAAGGATGGCATTATGGTAGATCCCGCTAAGATTGAGGCCATTCGTGATTGGGCCAGGCCCACCTCTGTGACTGAGATTCGTAGCTTCGTCAGATTGGCAGGCTACTACAGGTGTTTTGTTGAGGGATTTTCTACTATAGCAGCGCCTTTGACTCGGTTGACTCGTCAGGATGTTCCGTTTGTGTGGTCGGAGGAGTGTGAGAGGAGCTTTCTGAGGCTTAAGGAGTTGCTTACCACCGCTCCTATATTGACTATACCAGTTGAGGGCGAGGGGTTTACTGTTTATTGTGATGCATCCGGCATTGGTTTGGGTTGTGTACTGATGCATCAAGGCCGCATTATTGCTTATGCATCGAGGCAGCTTAAGTCGCACGAGCGCAACTACCCCACTCATGATTTAGAGTTGGCGGCGGTGGTTTTTGCGCTTAAGATTTGGAGGCATTACCTGTATGGAGTTCGATGCGAGATCTATACTGATCACAGGAGCCTTCAGTACATTATGAGCCAGAGAGATCTTAATTCGAGACAGCGCCGTTGGATTGAGTATGGGTAGTCTAGCTTTTCTTTCTACTACGAAGCGACCATTAGCTTTGGATATCCAGTCCTTAGCTAACCGGATGGTACGGCTAGATATCTCTGATTCCCGGTGTGTACTAGCTTATGTGGATGCTCAGTCATCTCTGTTGGATCGGATTCGCAGCCATCAGTTTGAGAATGAGGACTTAGTGGCACTTCGAGATCGAGTTTTGGGAGGTGACACTGGCCTGGCTACCTTAGATTTAGATGGGGTCTTAAGATTTGGTGATCGACTTTGTTTTTCAAGATTTGGGGGTTTGATTCAGATGATTCTTACCGAGTCCCGTGACTCCAAATATTCTATTCATCCGGGCACAGCTAAGATGTATCGAGACTTGAGACAGCACTACTGGTGGAGCGGCATGAAGAGAGATATTGCGGATTATGTATCGCGTTGCTTGAGTTGTCAGCAAGTTAAGGCCGAGCATTTGAGTCCTGGTGGTGAACTTTAGAGATTACCCATTCCTGAGTGGAAATGGGAGAGGGTCACCATGGACTTCGTTGTAGGATTACCCCGCACTTCCCGGGGTCTTAATAGTATTTGGGTCATCGTGGATCGATTGACCAAGTCAGCAAACTTCATTCCTGTCCATACTTCCTACAGTGCTGAGAGGTTAGCCCGTATCTACATTCGAGAGGTGGTTCGTCTTCATGGTATGCCTGTTTCCATCATCTCAGATCGGGGCCCACATTTCACATCTAGCTTCTGGAGGACCTTCCAGGATGAGTTGGGTACCCGTGTTGACCTTTGCACAACTTTCCACCCGCAGACTGATGGTCAGTCAGAGCGCACGATTAAAGTTCTTGAGGACATGTTGCGGGCTTGTGTTATGGATTTTGGGGGTCAGTGGGACCAGCATTTGCCTTTGGCAGAGTTTGCGTATAACAACAGCTACCACTCGAGTATTCAGATGGCCCCATTCGAGGCCTTATATGGTAGGCGTTGTCGCTCTCCAGTTGGTTGGTTTGAGTCTACAAAGCGTAGGCCGCGCGGTACAGACTTGATGCGAGAGGCTTTAGATCATGTGAGGGTGATTCAGGATAGGCTCAGGACAGCCCAGAGTAGACATCAGAGTTATGCAAACCGTAGGCGTCGACCGTTGAAATTTGCTGTTGGTAACAGAGTATTCCTCCGTGTGTCACCCATGAAGGGTGTAATCAGATTTGGGAGGCGGGGCAAGCTTAGCGCCAGGTATATAGGTCCTTTCGAGATATTGAGGACAGTTCGGGAGGTCCTTTCGATGTTGCGCCGGTATGTTCCAGATGAGTCTCATGTGCTCCAGTATGATGCAGTTGACTTGGATGACAGTTTGAGATACATTGAGGGGCCAGTTGCTATTTTGGCTAGAGATGTCAAACGGTTGCGTTCCAGAGCCATTCCTGTGGTTGAGGTCCATTGGAGACATCGTCCAGTTGACGTGGCTACCTGGGAGACCGAGTATGAGATGCGGGCACAGTTCCCCAGCTTGTTTGAGCCTTCAGGTACTTCTTGACTCTTACTTTCGCGGACGAAAGTTCTTTTAGTAGTGGATATTGTAATGATCCTCCAGGTCATTTTTAATTTAAAGCATTCATTCCCTCGTTTAGAGCGTTCCTGTAGCGACCCCAAGTCATTTATGACTTGCTGGCACTGACTGTTCGGTCGCCTGGTCATTTGTTTGGGTTTTAGGCCCGTTTCCCTGTTTTGGAGATTTTATAACTTGAAAAGTTGACTCTGGTCAACCTTCTTGGAAGACGTGCTCAGATGAAAATTCTGACAGTTAGGTTAGTTTCGGAATATCAATTTTGGTCTAGAACGACCCTTTGTTCACTTCCCAAGGCTTTAGATGGCAGTTGTGGAATCTGGCTCAAAACGATAGTGGGTGTGGACCCACTTTTCATCGAAGCGGTCTCCAAATGGAAATTCCGCCTTCACCGTTGAGTCCGAAATGTCATTTTCAATCAGATTCCATATATGGGTTGTATTTTTCCGACTCCGAACGAGTCCGGAACATCGAAATTTAAGTTTGAAGGGTTGTAGATTTCTAACGCGGCGGTGACGTGCCAGAGCCACGCGACGCCACGTGGCAGAGGCTTAAATCTGGAAATTTCCAGATTTTAGGACGAATTTCGTCCATTATTTTCATTTGGCATCTTCAACATAAGATTCCTCCCCTATTTTAAACCCGAATTAAGTGATTCATAAGGCTAATTTCAAGACAATTTCATGGGGAATCTAGAGGTGATCTCAGGAACGCGAGGGGAGGCTTCGTTTGAGGTAGAATCGATTTAGCTACTGCTAGGGTGATTTTTCGGAATGAATTGTTGTTGAATTTTGAAATGTGAGATCTTGATCATCTTCGGTCGATGTGAGATCTTGATCATCTTAGGTCCGTTTTGTGTCATTCTTGACGCTAACTTGTAGAGTTTTTCGTAAGGATCGTCGTGGTATAATCTGTTTGGGTTGAAAGGGCCTCGTTTTTCCGGAAATTGGTGAACTAGGGGCTGCTACTTTTAATTGTTGTGGCTGATTTGCGGTGTTTGAAGCATCTATTTGTGCTAAATTTTGGGGTATTAGTTTAGTAAGGTATTTGGTAAGTTTCGACGGATTCGTTTTCTGGATTCCAATTGTGGCTCCACAATCCCGTTTTTAGACCCGATTTTTGGGTCCGTCTCTGAAAAATGTAATTTTAGTGTCAATATATTCGTAATGACGAGGTGATTAACCTTTTGTTAGTGGGGAAGCATTTGGAGACCGTTCGGAGGGGAAAAGCTCCGGTATCGTGAGTTGGAGGACGCGCGATCCCCTTTCAGGTAGGCTATGGCTTTCCCTCGTGAGTTTGAGCATGTTTAGGCATTTGTTTATTGATTTGCTTGAGTATGGAGGGGTACGGGTGTCGAGCATGCTAAATTTCTGTAATTCCTTCCTTAGACCTTATTTCGGGAAAGTGTTGGATTATGACAGCATGTCTCTTGATATTATTGAACATCCATACTTTGTGGTGTATATGATAATATTGATTTTGAAGTATGTTTGGCCTTAGTCTAGGTTTAGACTAGTGTTTCCATAGACCTGCGCGGTTTCGGATGTCGTTGGGCAGTAGAAGTTTTTCCGACGTCGTTTCGGACGGTCAGCTCCTTGTAGACTGATATAGCAGACTTGAGTCTGATAGTCGGTAACTCAGCTTATGACCATGTATCCATAATGCTCTACTTTTCTATTAGCTACAGTACCCGGTTAGAGTCCGTGGTCCAGCTTACTTATGTCCAGGCTTAGCTACAGTACCCGGTTAGAGTCCATGGTCCAGCTTACCTGTGATTCCGGTTTTGGCTACAGTACCGGGTTAGAGTCCGTGGTCCAAGCCCACCCGTGCCCGACCTTTGGCTACATTGACTTTGCTATTGAAGTAGAGCCGGGCACTAATCCCATTTCTATACCACCGTACCTAATGACCCCTGTAGAGCTCAAGAGGAAGATAAGAAGAAGAAGACAAGTGTACAAAAATATGTAAATAAGTCATAAGAAGAAGACAAGTATATGTAAATAAGTCATAAAGAACCGTTACCCCATGGCTCGTATTGATGATTTGTTTGATCAGCTTCGGGGTGCCGCCGTGTTTTCTAAGATTGATTTGAGGTCCGGGTACCATCAGCTGAAGATTAGGGCAGCGGACATCCCTAACACTTCATTTAGGACCCGTTATGGTCATTATGAATTCTTGGTGATGTCATTTGGGTTGACT